AACGCTAAACGAGGCTGCGCTCCTCAAAGGACCTTACCGGCAATCATTTTTCTACTTTGTGATTACAATTATATCTAGCCATATCGGAGACAAATACAAAATTTTAGATTATGTTTGAAGACACCTGAAGTAGAGGAAATCCCCCTGTTTTTTGTGTCAAACCTTGGTTAAGGAGTGGCCGGACCTACCCCTGTTCCTACCTTTTCGTAAGAAAGGGTCTCAAACACGCGTCAAACGTCGTTTGGAACGCAACTACCCGACTCGGGCTTACAACCTTGTAACGGAGGTCTTAAGAAACGGAATTTCCAGTAGAGATATTTGGTCTTTTCATGTACAGTAAATATTACAACAGAGACTTCTTTGTTGCTATTTAGTATTAACTACCCCAGATTACAATCGAATTTCCTGGAGCTTCCACGACATTTAGTTAACCTAACTGTCTACAATCCGTGATTGCTTTTTATTTACAACAAATGTCAAATATATTAACAGAACACACACAAAGATTGTGGTTTCTCTACTACCACCTCTTGACAATGTCGGTCGGGAGAGAAATTTTACGTAAAATGTTTATTAATAAATGTCGTTAGCGTATGAGACGTTACGGTTCTTTTACATACTTTATTTAGAAACCGAGGATTAATTCTCTAGTAGGATTTCACGACAAGTCTATTTATGTCTTTAATGTGTCAGTCCGAGTCGTTTTGTTTTTTATTCCATGTCATTTCTTGTGGTTATTTCTTCTTACTGTTTATAGAGGCGTATATCACATGTTTTATATATCTTAAAATTTGTTCGTGTTAGACGTTTTCCACGTCTTGCGATTTGCTCATTGAACTTTTTGTCTCCGTCTGTTCCAGCATACTTATTGAAGTTCTTCATCAATACTTTCAGTTGTTCTTCAAGCATGGCCATGTTTGCTGAAATGAAAAAAAGTACTGTTGACTGTGTAGTTCAGTGTTTATTTATTTATAAATGGATTCTTGGAGCGTGCTAAAGATTCTTACTGCCCAACCATAATTTGTGTTGTGAACATTACTGATTATTTTAAAACGGTGCGATAAAGTCTTGCTCATAAGTTGCCTTCTCATCTTTTCTTTAAGGGGTAATTACTACATGTAACCTTGGTTTGAACAACAGACATGATAAAGTCATGTTTGGGTGGGGCAAGAGAAAAGCTCATTTGTGATTTGGTGTGGTAGGCAATTCTGCATCTTTCCAAAACAATTCAAGGCAACCAAACACATCTAGTCTGATTTCCAAACTCCCTTTACTTGTTGTTCCTCCTTCAATTCATCTCAGTTTCTCCTACCTTCTGCATGACTTTTCAAACAACTTTGCATTTTCAAATTGACAGAATTCCCACAATTTGATGAATGTCACTATAATATGTAAATGAGAGAATTGCTATAATCTTTCGATGGATTGACATTTAAATCCTATACATAGCACTAATAAAACCTAATGCTACATTTTAGTAGTGATGTTACGTATTGTGCCGAGGCTTCGGAGCGTGTGTCGAGTAATCCCCGAAGCTTTTTGTAAAGCATGTATCGAGGCTTGTATCGTTTTGGGCCAGTGACGTCATCGATGACAAACGAAGCCTCGCTGCCTGTCGATACCACGTGACTGCTCCAGGAAGCGATTCAGATCGGTTGAACCCATTGTTGAACCCTATGGTTGAACCGTTGAACCACAACGCTCATAATACCCATGGTGACATAATAATAAGAACCATATTACCCCTCCTGTACCCGGGCCCGCTGGTGACACGATGGAATTAAAAGAGGTCAGAACCTCACTTATAGCCTATAGAGTTCGGAACATGTCATAAGTATAAATAGGCAAGCATAAATAAATGTAGGAATAAAAACATGAATAAATAAATTAATAAATACAGTAATCAATATCGAACAGTGTTTTCAGGGAGATTCAGCGTGTGTGCTGTGGTTCAGCTGGAAAGAAGTTGACTCACGACCGTAGGGTCCCTGGTTCAATGACTCGTCAATACGTCTTTTTTGTTGTTTATAAAAGCTACAGCTAAATGAGATAATGTAGTTAATAAATGTATTCTTTGATATGGTTTAGCTTTTCTCAGGCTACAACATGGTTACGTTTACAAATATTATTAAGGCATACACATCCCTCTTTGCAATGTTTACCAGCCTCCTAAGGCTTTTCAATCACAATCATTAAACTGGAAATGAAAATATGATTTTATGTTCGTTGTTTAGAGTTATTCTAAAGCTTTACTCATTGGGAACTCGGTATGAGATACAGCACACTGTTGAGATGTCAAATCTGCCTGTTTTACACACTTTGACCAACAGGGGGTTTGTGTTCAGATGAAGCCTGATGAAGCCTCATGAGATGAACCCTTTTGCGAACCAATTGGCTGGAAAGTTTCAAAGCTTCATAAGGCTTCATCTCGCCATCACTAGCCTTTAGTTGAGTTAGCCTCGAGCTGTTCTCATTTCTATTCTTTGAGTTACCAATGCTGAGAATGCCATTGCTGGTTGTTGCTGGACATCTTGGTAGGCCGGGGCAAAAGATTCACCACTTAAATCAGAACACTTTAATACAGGAAGTGGCCAATCAGAATGTACCAAGTGGCTGTCACATCACAGGGGGGATTTTCTAGATGAGATATATTGGTAATTTATTTTAGTTGTATCAGTTTGTATTAGTTTTATGTTCCCTCTTTTGTTTGATCGTTAGAATATCTATACTGAAATATTATCTTTCCTGTTTTGCTATGAATTTATGGGCCAAGAACTTGTATTGTGATTTGTTTGTTAAATGTTGGGAATATAAAAAATTACATGATTTCCATTACATGATCCACTGAAAATATAACCTGCAATTCAAAGTTCTCACCATGTTCTCGATCTCTGCACTCTGTCTGACACCCCACTGGAACATGCCTGTAAGTGTCACTGCATAAGATAAAGCCAGACCCACTGCACCCGGTTCTAATCCTGTAGTATCAGAGACAAAAAAAAGCAAACATGCAGTCACACAGTCATGCAGTCACTTATCATTACAGTTTCACTAATAAAGACTCATATGTAAATAATAATGTATTGTTGTTTATCAAAACCCATACAGTACCATCCCTGAGGTAAATGCAGCCAAAAGCAGTGATGCTCACAAAAATTGAGCAAATTCCATCAAGACGCACGGCAAACCAGCGAGAAGTGGTCAGGAATAAGAACCAGGCCTCTGTTGAAAATACACACACAATGTAATCTCTAGAGCTAAATATTGCTGATACATGGAAATAATAACCATAATTAGTATGAATGGCTTTCTATAGGTATGATGAAATGTTTCTCACCAGAGTGAAGATCTTGATATTCATCAAACATTTGCTGAAACCTCTCCTGAATTTTGAAAGCACGAATGGTGCTCAAGCCTTGGAGAGATGAAGAAAGGTGGGAGAATACGGGGCTCCGAGCTGAAAGATAATATATATATATACGTACCACATGTTTTAGCTTTTAAACAAACATGCATATGTAAAATCAACTATCTATATTCAACAACAACCTTTTCCAATACAAATGCATTGACTATTCTATACTAAACACATAAAACATATTTTCTTTAATTAATCATGCTTTTATAACTGACTGCTTCTGTGTTGTAATAAACTGTATTTCTAATTGAGTTATTATATTATAATCTACTTGGTGTTTTTAAGGTTCTCTTCTTAATATTTTCTCCTTCAGAAGGCGTAGACAAAGAAAATGTGAGCTGGTTATAAATTGCGAAATACGAAATGCGTCATAAACACATTTAAAACGCCCCTCATGTCAAAGAGTTTTGATTTAGAGAAAGGTTGCAATAGAGTGGTCTTTTGTTTCTATTTGTTAGGCTCACAAAACCATAGACAAAACCTAAATGTTTCCTCTGGGCTTTTTATTAGAACTTTTGTTCTTTAAGATGATGGAACCTGTTGGCCAATGTGCATTTGAGCTCTCAGCCCAGAATAAAATAGACGAACTAAAGCCCGCAATGGCCTAGTCATGCCCACTTGGCATTTTTCCCCATTGTATGTGATGTCATGAACTCCCGTCTCTTGAGGAAACTGCGTGTGGCCGAGCCATAGGCCACCGCCACCTTTAGCCTTTATGCTAATGACCATGGCTTTCTTCAATGGTCTATTAGCATTCCTGCAGTCAGCTTTTGTCTCTTACCACAAATGGACATGCCCACCCCACCACCAAAAAAAAAAAAGAATTACTGGTAGACTCTAGGCGCTTGATGTCTCTGGAGGTCTGAAGGAAGTAGCATCGCAGAAACAGGAAGCCAGCAAGAAGTGGAGCAACAGGAACAAGGATCCAGGGGATGATGATGGCAGCTACTGCAATCACTCCAATGACTTGGAGAAATACCTGGGACAGAAAGATAAATAGAAAGGAGAACAATACTAAACAAACAGCAACAGAGTCAACAGCTCCACTGCTGCTGTGGTGGCTACCACCAGGGAAGCAAAACTATTTATTTAGGCTAAACAAGAGAAACTCTTTCAGTTGTATACGTATTAGACCATCACAGACACACAGAAAGGTAACAGCAGGTTGTGGGACTGAGGTTATGTGACTCACAGTGTGAAAGGAAAACGACCACAGCGCTAATTCTCACTTAGTAGCAGGTGAGAATTTACCACTTGGCCACTGCAGCTCATATCCCTGGCTCCCTTGGGCCCTCCCTTCAACACTTCTGGCCTTTAAGCCTCCCTGGCAGAGCAGCCAGCCAACAGCCCGGGCCACAGTGACTGGCAGAGGGCTCTGGGAACCACACTGTGGGTGTCTGATACATCACACTCTAACCACACAGCCCTCAACAACACAGTGACTCATCACCCGCGTTAATGGCTCTGTGACACATCTAGACCAGGATACCAGAGCTGCCTGAGCAGGATAGGAGGCAGTGAGTGTGACGACACCAAAGCACTTTGTTTAGAAACGGAATCTAATAAAAACATCAATATGATTATATAAAAATTATTACCAAAGCCCACCTGTGGTTAATATTCTCCATTGTACAGTACCTAAGTGAATTTTGAGGTCCTTATACTTTTAAATAGATAGATATATGGATTGATACTTTAATGATGAACTTGGGACTGGGGAATCAACATATATATATATATATATATGATAGTATACTGTGTATCATCTTAAGTGTTTCCACTTTAAGCAATTATATAGTTCTGCTTTAGTACATTTGACTGGCAAATGTTTTTTTACAACTTGTTTTATATTTGTACATAATAGCAATAACATATCAGTCACATTGGTCATTTGGTAGTAGTTGTACTTTTGATACTAAGGGGCCTACATCTTCCTGATGTATTGCCATGCTTTTAATTGACTGGATATGTAATGCATATCTTTCAAGTTTGTTTGTTTACTTTGTGAAGAATATTTTTTCCTTAAATTAATGAAGGAAATACTCCTTCCACCAGTGAACATTTGAGACACGGTTTCTTCTTAACTGAAAGGTATACTGTGTTACATATTTCATATTCGATTGATACGGTACATGATAAAACAGAAACCTCACACCCTGAAATTAAACACATCCTAAAAGATGAAGCCTAAGACGTGGAGATTAAGATCGTGCTGTTACCTTCAGTGGTCTCAGACTAGCCCAGAGAGATGAACATTTAATTTAGCACCTTAATTACGGATGTTATCTGCCACTTAAGCACACATTTAGGCATGATCACTTTCAGTGTAGTTTCCTGATGAAAAGCTACTCAATTCCATTTGCAGTTCAGATAAGAGGGTATTACTAGTCTAACCATTGCTGTAGTGGAGCCCACACAATCAAACAGTGAGTGGAGGCTACTGAGCACAACTGATCCCAAGAATTTCACAGTACATAAGTTTCAATCTTAGCCTTGATGGAAGGCTACCAGACTGCAAAGTGAGATGGTGACACACGAGCCATTACTGCATGTTATCCAGCCTTCCCTTGAGGGGATCAAATATTAACTGAACAAATGTCTTATCAAATGAACTGTTTTTCTTTCACTCTCCTGCTGCTCTTTGGTGACACAGCGAACACTGCTCATTCAGGTTTGCAGATTGGGTTATTTAAATTCTAATTGGGCCCATTTCAGTGAGGGGCCACGGTGGTCCGAGACAGGCTTATCTGACAGTGGGGTCATCTGAGGCAACAGAGGAGGAACAGGAACCCTAAGATAGGAGTCTTGCCTCCTCCTGCTCCCCAGGGCCCTCTGTCGTCAGGGCCCCGTTTGATGTGACCCATTTGCGTGGTCTGCCGCTTATCATGTCCGCATCAGGAACACCGTGGGCCCCCACCCACACTACACACAGATGACTCAGATAAGTGATCCAACAAGCGTACACCTCACCCCCCCGGACCACATCCATATCTCTTATGAAACCACACAGGAACAGAAAACTCCCAAAGCCACTTCCCGCTGCACATAAAAGTGGATAAAAGGATGAAAGGTTTTGTGTACAAACTGTTTAAATAAAGAATTAGCGCTAATTGCTCTTAAGCAAGAAAAGAAAGCTTCTGCACGCATGTGATTCAGTCATTCGAGCACAGTGGGCGCACTGCTGTGTCCAAAGACCATTGAGATCTCTGCTGACCTTAATTGCTTTATTTTCTCAATGATTCTATCAGCTCTTTGATGTCCAAGTAAATGCAGAAAATTGAAGTTAATTGCTATATTTGTGTTCGGCAATGATAGCGACTGTTGTTCGGCAGCAGAAAATAAACACTTGCCTTTAATTAAACATCCCTCCGGACACAAAGAATCAGTATGCTTTTTACAACGCCTTATTCATCCTCCCTTTATTTACTGACTGTGTGCAATATTTGCCACTGTGAAACAAAAAAGAGAGCAAACAAAACAGGAAATGAGGGGAAAGCATAGCAAAGAAAATTCCTCAAAAGAAGTCCTCTGTCATCGCTGGACTTTTTTTTCTCTCCACACTTTTCCCTGACAGAGCTGCACAATAAGTTGCAGGGGTCAGTGGTACTGAAACAAAAAAGGGCTGTTCCACTCGGGCTCTGGAACAAAAGAAGTGACCCAATCCATTCTACTCTGTCTTTGGGCTTTATTTTAGCATTAAATGCCCAGATGCCATGCCCTTTCTTTGGGAGAAATGACTGTGGAAACCTCCCTCACATTTTCCCTTTCTGGGCCATTTTCACTTCATAAAGCTGCAGTCAATGTGTTTTGTGTGTGGTGAGGAGGGTCTGACACATACTGTGGTGGTCTCAGTCGCTGTCTACATTGGTGGCTCAAGTAGTCCTAGGATTAGGCCTTTGTGTGCTGTGAAAAGGTAAAAGAAGTCACTTATTTGGGCTCAGTCAAGCTGCTGATTTCCAACCCCATTTTGGAAATAAGAGAAAGGCTTTGAAATGAGGTCTCTCACTCACTCTCTCTCTCTCCCTTTCTCTCAACTATAAATCACTTGTGTCCAGCAAATGCATTCATTCAGCCACTGCTCTTTTCTCTCTCTCTGTTAAAACAACACAAAAACATTTTCAAATGTGCAAAGAAACAGCAATTCACCAAAACAAAAGTAGTTGGCAGAATGCACAGAATTCATTAGGTTTGTCATATTGACATGAGGTGAGAGTGTAGATTATTAGATGGGACTTTGTTTGTTAAGTTCCCAGGCTCAAAGCACCCTGTATGTCTGAGTCAAAGAAGCTGAGGTGCTGGACCGCAGCATCATGGGAGACCACACATACACACATTGAATGCTATATTGCTGGCCAATGCTCGCCATCAAATGACCATGTGTGGTATTGCTGAGTGGCTGGTTAGACACACCCATAAGCAGACAAAAACACAATGCTGTTTTGTGGTGTAATCAAAACAATCTAATTTGACAAATAAGTAAATAGAATAATTAACATAGTAAACATAGTTACCTTTCTGTGTCACTTGTAGTTGTTTTACTTGTGCATGAAGACAATTGCAATGTCATAAAACAATGGTCAAAGGGGGATTTACAGCCTACATGTATATATTTCTGCACAGGACCATCTTCTGTGTTTCTCAGGCTAACCTGTGTAACGCCTGGAGCCAGAGCATTCTTCACTTCTCCTGTCACCCGCATGGTAGAGAAGCAGAGAAAGCAAGTGAAATCCCATCCTACAGCACTCACGGTTACGTCAGCAGTTCTCATATCCCACAAAGCCGCTGAAAAGGCCTGACACACAATGTGCCACAATATACAGACTCACACAGCGATCCACCCGCCAGTGTTTTTAGACAATAGCCACCTTTGCTGTGTGTTTGTGTGTGTGTCCTGGTGCTAGGTTTGTGTCTGTATACCACGCACTACCTCTTCTTCTCACACGCACTATAAAGTGTTATATATTTTCTCGAGATGACTGTAGGTTTTACTGCTGTACAATTGATTTATGAGCTACTGTTTATGCATGTTTATATGCCATAAACAATGCCGAGACCAGGCTAAGTCCCACTTAAATGAGAGTAGCTTTCAGCTGGTGTCTTACATACACATGCTGACAAACTGAATTTGCGTGGATGGTTAAGAACAACTGTGAAAGTAGCTATGGACCTCACAGTAAGTGTTGTGACTTGGTCAAGAGCCTTCACACAAAACCCTTCACTGAAAGACCCCTGAACTCACCCCTTATTGTCTTGCCCTCCTCCTCTGACCCCTCTGTGAAAATAATGGCAACCCAGGATTTAAAGGTCAAGTCTACACAAAAGCAGACAGTCCCCGAAGCCCGAGGTGTTTTTAATTGACATTTCTGTCTTTGTCCCATGACCATAAAGAGAAAAAGAGAAAAAGCCTTTTCCTCCATACACCAAATTACTACTAAATGAGACCTTTGAAAAAAATAGGGCTCTGGGGTGTAACCAGGTTCACCCAGCTAGAGGGAATCCCCTTGTCAGGCGGGTATGGGGGCAGTGCTGAGAGGCTGAAGGCCTTACTCCACCAAAAAGGTGGAGGCTCTGGTGCAAATCCCTGCACAGAAGTGGCCTCTCCCCATAGAGAGATAAACCAGTTAGGGCATTGTTTATGAAGTTTCACTTTATTCCCCCCTGACAACCATTTAAACAATGACTATGGGGAAACGTCCCTCTGCGAATGAGCAACAATAGTCAGGATCAGCAGCTTTTCTGCACGGCTAATACTTTGATAAAAAGAGTGAAAACCGTCCTTCCTGAAAGCATTAAAGACCGCTCCATGAAAGACACCTGCAAACAAGAGCAGAAAGCAGTACAAACAAAAGTATTCTGTTGAAAGGATGCCACCTTTGTCCCAAGTCACAATCACTTCCCACTTGCTCACCACAAAAAGACCAGCAGAAACAATCAGAACACCCTCTCTTATTGAAAGTTTGCCCTTAAGTTACTAAAAGCTATTCTTCACTACAATGCACTACAAAATAGTAATGTCTCTTATATTCCAAGAAAAAGCAGGTAATATCTTATACTGTTCAAGTCATACTTGAAGTACAGTGAGTACATATGTGCAATACAAGTCTGTATTTAGTTATGACATAAGCTACTTTCACTGTTTTCATTTCAGGAGCTATGCGCCTTCTGCAAACTTATTATTTTACCCCAGCCATTATTCAGCTTATTATCAAAATGAGGGAAACTATAGCAGACAAAAAGCTTTTGTGCATATGATCTTTTGTGCTTTCAGCATTTAAGATGGCTTTTGTCTACTGTGAGATGGGTATCTGCCACAAACATCACTCAGGCATTGTGGAGGGGGGATTCGTTTTCAGCACGCCTTTGTTCTATTCTTTGGCCCTAACCAAAGAGCCACGCCTGCTCCTCTACCTCGAATTGTGCAGCGAACATTCCCGTCTTTGTGGTGCTAGGTGCATGAGCTGGCTCATCTCCGCAGGCTTTCGTGGGAGATGGCTGTCACGGTGGCAGGGTGGCATTTGGTAACCTTACCTGGTTATGCACCAGGGTGGCCCTTGGCTACCAGGCCTGAAGACTGTAGTGCATTACTGTAGGTGAATTGCGCTGAGAGGGGCAAGTCCCACTCTGGATCTGTTCCAACTGACCTGTCCCCCTTTCCCCTCTACCACGCTTCCAGGTCCACTCCTGCGAACACATCCCACGCCTGCTGCTCACACTTCTTCTCTTTGCCACTCAACTCATCATCCTCGTCACCCCCCTCCTCGCATACCCACTGTTTTTCTCCACATCATCCCCATCATCCTGCGGCCTTTATTTCCTCTTTGACACCTTTCTCTCTCCCAATCACTTGCTTACTCCCCAAACACATTCTCTGAAGATGCCGCTTCTGTTGTGTCACACTGTGGGAGCCACGCCCTCAGCCTATGTGCACACTTTTATTAAATCTGTGCAGGCGCTGGGCCGCGCTGGCGGGTAATCCTACAGTAATTGTTTCCAGATTAGGGGACCCGGACCACAAAGCAGGTTTAGCCAGGCATGAAATGGCCTTCCCATGCTGCAGCGCCAGCGACCAAACCTGCCGAGGTGAGACTCACCTGGATAAAGTCCACAAACGTCCATGGGAGCAGAGAGTCCAGGTAACCGATGTCCTTCGAAAACCTGTTGAGGATTCTTCCTGGAAAACAACACAACACAAAAGGTCCAGATTATAAGACATTAGAGTGGATATATGTAAGATAGAATCCCACAATTGAGAGCAGAGTATTCTTTTATTGGTTATAAAGTATCCTTTGTACATCTGAATTATTGGAGAAAAATAAGATAATGTAATGTATTTTGTAGTGTGAGGGGACATTCAAGATATATTACTGTATTGTGCAATTTAATATGCAGATAGAAATTAGAAAAGAAATCTGCATCAAATGCTAATATTGTTTATCCTTTGGGAATTTCCCTCTGTTATCCACTGATAACAATATTTAGTCAGTTTCAATTTCCTTGTACCGGTACTCACTTGACTATTGAGCAACTGTTACCAAAGTCCCTTCCAACTTAATAGAAAAGAGCTTATACACAGAGTGTGATATCAGATGAAAAACACAGGCCTATCTAGAGTAAACAATGAATCATTATTTGTATAGCATTTCATAAAGACTGCCCTACTCTTGGCTGAATACACGAGGGAACCTTTTGTTTGGAAACAAAAGGGCAACAGAAGCTGTGTACCTTCCTTTATGTTCTGACTGGCAGTGTCAGTGACGTTAATTGAGTTGCCTCCAATCTGCTCAGGTGTTCATTATTTTGTCTGGTGCTTCGCAGGTGCTGTGGCAGTCCTTTATTGTGACCATTTTAGTAACTCTGCTCCCCTATTCTGATCCCACAGTACATAAGATTACACTCCAGTTGCTTTCCCACAATGTTTACAGCAGGGTCAGTGAAAGTAAATCCCTAGGCTACACTTCCTAAAGGCAGGCAATACAGAAAGGCGTTCTCTATCTCTGTCCCTGAAGGAAGAACTCAGACTCAGAGGCAGACAAGGAGTACCAGAGCAGTGCCTGCAGTGCCACAATAGGAAAAATGGCTACAGGTCAAATAGAAGAAGAATTGGGAGGGATGAAACCCTCTTTAATGGTCACACATGCAGAGCACAGCACACACAGTGAAAGTTGTTCTCTGCATTTAACTCATCCTAGTACCAGGAGTCTAGTACTAGGAGCAGTGGGCAGCTATTGTACAGCGCCCAACACCAACAACCAGTAGATATACAGTATTGTGCGTAGTTTAATGTATATTCACTGTCAAAACAACTCCCAAATGGTGTCATAATGTTTGATACAGCTATAAAGCAACCCATTGTCTCTCTTGGTGTTTAAGCAAACAATATCAGTTTGAAGAGAATATAAATAAAGCAGCACTCGCATACAGTATTTACTGTAAAAATCATGATAAAGTGAAACTATCCCTGCAAGCATGCGGAAGTGTTTATCCATGCTTACAGAATTGGCTATGTAACAGGGTGGGACTTGTTACAGGACCAAGAGAGGAAATAGCTGAGCGGCACATTGGCAGAATGTGGCAGAATGGCACTCTGGAGGCGTGGTGGAGTGAAGCCATGGCACCACTGACCTAAAACTTGCCTCGGAGCCTCCCAGTCAGTCTTATGGAGGTGGGCCCTGTAATCACCTCTCTCCACGGCCATAAGCAGCTTACAGCTTTATCCAAAATGCCGCTCCCGCCTAAAAAACATGCATGCAGACGAGGCCGGGCTCCCCATAACAGCCATTGCATAAACCCAGCCAGAGCATTATTCCCCGCAACAATCCAGCAATGCTCCAAATCAGTACTGATTCAAAGTCAAGTGGCGTAAGCATGTTGTACACTCGGAGGCAGACTAATCTTATTCACAGTGTGAGTGCCCCTTTAGCATACAGACATCCTGAGGGGAGGGTTCATGCAAGGGGGTAGAGCTGCTACTATACTAGTGTAGAAGATTGCTGCTTATGTCTGGGAATGGGGGGAGTATTTGTCAAACTGTGTTTGCGGAAGATCCAATAATATTTTATGTAATTTTACTGTCTAAGCCATAGATGACCTAAATTCATGCATATCTGACAAACAATGCCAGCAAGAAGAGGATAGGTTTCTCTGGGTTACATCATACCATGGTTAGAGGGTGTTAAAACAGAAAACATCAGTCAGCTATCAGCTGTTTGACAAGCGGCTCAGTTAACAGAGGGTTTCAGAGGGGATGAAGTAAAGGCCTTCTCCATCCACCGCGGACTATAGAGGGGATACATTACAGTGATGCAGTTACACAAAGACATTCACTGCATGGAAATGCCTATGAGGTAAGATCGGCATGGGACAATGGCTTCAATCACTATGGGTGGTTGTCAACAATATCACCTATTGTGTAGAAAGGGGTATAGACGTTTCAGGATATCAGCAGCATTACTATCAAACAATTTCTCATGGTTTAAGACTCCAGGGGTGATTTGCACCATTTTTTCAGGCTCAGGAAATATCAAGCCCTCCCAACTAAGGTGGCCCCTTAGGTGGAGATATTAGGAAAGCAGGGCCCCCAATCACAGTTAAAGAAGTGGAACAGTGGGGTCCGGCTGGAGCAGGGCGTGTGGCAAATCGCTGTTCCCTGTAAACATCAAGATAAGGGGACGACTCAGAGCTGCTCCATGTGTGGGCCCAGTGCAGTTGGAAGGGCCTTTCAGTCAGGCAAGTGTGATAATGAAGGAATACCGGGGAGGGGGCTGCCAAGGCTGGAGGTGGCACAGCTCACCTGCACTTCCATGAAGGGCCTCGGGGCCTGGGGCAGCCTCCCACCGCCGGCACCTTGCTGCCAATACTAATACATTCTAAATCCATTCTCTTCGCTCACACCGCCAGGCTCCTGCAATCTCCTCTGCTTCCCTTTCATGCAATTAAATAGTGGAAGTGCCGAGCGAGGGGGAGCCCTATCAGCCGTACTGCACACACACACGGCTCCATCTCCACATTCAATTTACACACCTCGATATCATCATCCTCTCTGCAGTACTTCCTCGACTTCGCTCTTAACACTCTTGCATCCAAGACCTGAAATACAGACATTAAAAACATAGCCTCTGTAGACACAATTAGAATCTCACTTCACTGACTACAGAGGATCTAATGTTCCCTGCATCAACAGCAACTGAGTGACACCTGGCACTGAGGTGGCCCAATATGCCGATGCTAAGGGGGACGGTAAAGGTGTGTGTGTGTGTGTGTGTGTGTGTGTGTGTGTGTGTGTGTGTGTGTGTGTGTGTGTGTGTGTGTGTGTGTGTGTGTTTTGAGAAAGAGAGAGAGAGTTTGTGTGTGTGTGTGTGTGTGTGTGTGTGTGTGTGTGTGTGTGTGTGTGTGTGTGTGTGTGTGTGTGTGTGTGCTGTGTGTGTGTGTGTGTGTGTGTGTGTGGACTGAAACTCCACACCTTGACTGTGCCGATGAGCTGAAGCCCTGGCCTGCAGTCTCTGAGGGGATTAGCCCACTCAATGACACTAAATTACAGGGATCAACATCAGCTCAACACATCCACCGCTGTCTCTGCTGCTCTAACTGGATCACATTTGGAAGAACAGCTGTACATATTTCAAAAATGTAGAAACATGAATATATTAGATTATATAAATTCACATAGAAGAGCAAAGATCTGTCCGTAGTTTTATCAAACTCATCTGGATGTCTTCCGACCATATATTTCCGTAACAAAATATAAAAGTTTAATCAAAAAAATTGGAAATCAACTATTTCCACACAAAAGATAACACATGATTCAAATGGCGCAGAGGCGTTCAGTGTCTGATACAGAAGAGCTACAATGCCTCTCCATCAATCATAATTCACCACTGCTGTACTCTATTGTTATAAACCACATTCACAGAATAACAAATAAGACCTTTGTGCAGCGACGCTTGAAATGGTAACCTTTCACTCTGTGGACAGTTATCAAACACTGGGCCTGTTCAGCAGCACTGCACCTATCACTTACACATATAAACAGTTGTCAAATCCTTAACAACACATAGGCACACAGCAACAAATGGCTCACACTTATTGCATGAGACAAGTAGTTGTGGAAACAGTTGTGATGGAGAAGTGGTTATTGTGTGAAAGAAGAATAAATGGTTTCGACAGTAGCAGCGCGATAAGAAAGAAAGAAGAGTGAGAGAAAAGTGGCAGAGCTGACAACAGCTTTTTACTGGTCTTTTCTGTTTGGTCGCACTCAAGTAAAGGTGTCAAAAATACAGAGCGAGAGAAGAAATGAAAAACGTAAATCAGTGAAAGTCATTTATATTGTCAAAAAAAATGTCACGGTCATGCTTAATCTACTGTTGACTGGACAAAGGACAAAAGAAACCCCCTCTCTGGGACAGTTGTCTAAATATGCAGTCAGACACACAGTGTTGTTAGCCAGCCTAGAGGCCAAGCTGTAATGACTGGACTGGACATACAATGGTTACTGATAGCCGCACAACAGCAATCAGATAGCACTGTCTGTTAAGCCTCTCTTTTGCTGCACTATTAAACAGATTATTACATTATTCAAAGTGTTTGTTCTCCTCCCGTGCGTAGATTACAAAGCAGGGCACACCCAGATAAGCTGCCAGGTAGTCCAATACCTAACACAACGGCAGCAGTAAAAACAAAAGCCAAAGATTAAGACCTGTGGTGTTTGCTCCAAACACAGCTATGCAAAGGGAAGCTTTGTCGCTGCACCCACTTCTAAAGCGAGAAGAAACCGCAAGCTCTGAACACCCTCAAATCATATTTAGACTTGTGTTAGCAGCTTATTATGACTCATTATACAGAAACAAGTTTCCTTCTTGTTGAGAATTCCCACCCGAGCTGATTGTGTAGTACATGCATGTCACTATGAAGAGATTAGGCTGAGTAATTATCTGCTGACAGGTGAACCATGCTCCAGAAAAATTAAAGTTATCAAAGTGGGCCACTTGACAGTTGACTTTGGATACGAATGACAGATTGTAGTGACAGTACTTCACCTTTTTAAAAATAATGAATACCAAAACACCATAAAGCTAAAATTACAAGAGGAGAAAACGCTCTCAGTTGTATTAATATCTATTTAAAATGGTAGTGAAAAACACGCCAAAAGGAAAACCAGCAGCCTTCCCTGAGTAAAGTCAGGCGAGTTGGAGTGTTTGCTCACTTTCCAAATCTTGTCCATCTGCCTACTCCATTGAGCCAGCAGCTACAGCCTACAAAGCTAATGAAATAAATCGAAGATTTCTGATAATGCGCACAAGACAAATACGTCCGTATTTACACAGCTCTACAGTCCAAACACAACACTGACCAAGATCTTGTGCAAACAGCATTTATTCAATATGATTGTTTGCTTTTTGTTCAAGCTCACAATAAAAAAAGATAACACTCCCTTTGGTCATTTGTAAATACATTACGGCTATATATAAAGTCATATCTCAAGGCTTTTTGACTGAGTTGGCTTCCTGGTTACACAGGCATTACTTCCCAGCAGCGACTTTTGTGTTGCCAGTTTCTTCAGATAGATATTCAAACCTATAAATCCCACTTACAGAACACCATCTATAAGCATGTGTGACTAAATGTACAGCCTTTATATTAATTATAGATAATAATAGTTATACTGATTAATTTTCAGATATGCATTTTATTTATATATAGAAATGACATAAACATTCCAATAATAAGATTAAAATATAAAAGATTTGAATTGTATACAATTTTACATTTAATCTGAAAACTGTTATATTTATATATATCATCCTTTTTATATCTAATAGCAATAACACATTTTGGAGTTGAAGGCCAAGTTAGTGGATATGTGTAAAGTGGATGGAAAGACAAGAAAGTAAGTAACAGTCTGCTCTCTAGTGGTGAGACATTAGAACAATAAGCTCAACCTTAGGCCCCAGAGGATGTTAACGTCTCAAAAGCATCCTTTCATTCCTGTACTACATAAATCAGTATTGATGAGAGTCACTTACCAATTGGATTGATATCAAAAAAGTGTACCGAGGTCCGGAGGATGGCGTTAAACATGCTGTTGTGTAGGGTTTGGGCCGCGCTCACCAACACATTAAAGAACACCAAGCTGCGAAGGAAGCCGAACACTACTGAAGTGGCTGTTAAACCTGACAAAAGCACAGAAGAAAAATCCATCAGCACACTAAAATATTTCCCTTGTACCTGTTCCAAGGTCAGCTATGCATTTAAGTTTCCATTATTTTGTATTTTGAATGGCATAAGAAATGACATAGAGTGTTCCACTTAAGTTTTGCCTTCAAATGATGTTCATTTGTGTCTTGAATGCTGAACTGTCCCAGTGAATACAAAGCCTGATAGAGTGAAGAGGCTAGGAATCACAGGGAGACAATCAGAGCAATCCAACAGGAGAGAAGAAGAAAGGCACTGCTATCTCCCTGTACAGCTGAGGCCCATGTACACATACACTGGGCCTTGAAGGCCTTGGTCCACAGCCAAAGAACTGTGGATCTGTTCATTGAATGGCTGGCATATTTAGAGCCTCAACAGTACACAAAAAGCAGTGTGCGCTCAGTGAGTTTCACCTGCGTAAACACCTAGGTACAGGTCAAGGTCCAGCTGCCGGGGGAGGCTGCCATTGAAGGGCTCTGTCGCATTGATGTGCTTCTGTTCAGAGGCCCTGCAAGACAGCCACAAAAGAACCAAAAATCCACAAGGACAAATAAACACAACGAATAAAGAACGCTGCAACAGGAAGGCACTAAACAGAACATTCCTCCTATCCTGAAGCACAAGGTCAGTTCAACAAGTGACAGATAATACCAAGAACAACTGTTTGGTTCAGCCTTCTTTTATCAAATCCTCCACCATTTACAGTCTCTGGAAATAGTCAGTCAGCCTTTCAATACATGATATTCTTGCAAGCATATGTGTTCACAAGGTGTAAAATGAATAATATCTCACCAGCACGCAAGCCACCAGTCCTGCAGCACAAATGTTATCTAAAAAGCAAACACAAAAAAGATGAAATGAACATTCATCAAGACAATTTATTACAGTATTCTTTTGTCTAAAAATGACTAGATTGATTATATGTTGTATTTTACTAAAATTCATGGAACACACGCAAAAAATGTATTGAAAGAATTGACTCACATGTGCTAGGACATTGAGTAAAATGAGGATGAAGAGGACCAGGAAGTTAGCGCCTGCCCTGAAATACTTCATATACATACGCAGGCCGATGTTTCCTTCTGAGCGGCTCTCCTCCTCTGTTGGTTGCACTACCTTCAGATAGACACTAGTGTCAGTGAGCAACATTTAAGATCAGGCAGCAGGGAAATGTGAGCTCCTTCTGCCCTCTAGTGGCTGCCAGAACTCACAACAAACCCTTTTCATACATTGAGATTGCTATACACATATGCTTAACAGGTTCCCCATTATAATGTTTTTCAGATATATACAAAACATGTCTCTGAAGTGTTTGGCTTGAAATACCAAACAGGTGGGACGGTGTTACCTAGGTTGGTGATTGGCTAATAGTTACACAAGCCAAAACATTGTTATGACATCACAAAGTGGCCAAAAACCTGATCAGCTCATTTTCAGACAGGTTTTTATATAAATGGAGCAGGACAAAAAGTGAGCAAATCTTTTTCCCCTAAACTTTCAGAATGTCTTTACACAGTTTTATGTATAAAAGACATGAAAAAGTGGATTTCGCATAATAGGTGACCTTTAAAGTTTGATGAAGTAAGTAAGAAAATGATGGTCAACTTTAAAGAATGATTCAACACACTTACCACTTTGTTTGGTTCTGGTGCCTTAATCAAAGAGCACCGAGAGGAAGATAAGGAAGACTTAGAGGATATTGAGTTGTCAGATAGTGTATGGGGGAAGCGGGAGAGAGTCCCAGGGATGGGGGTCTTCCTGTCATCCTCCTGGTCCTCTTCATCTTTTAGCAAGGAGGTGAAGTCGAGTCCAGAGCCCTGCAACTCACTGTAGGTTCCCCGTGCTACCATCTGACCCTGACAATGATGGAAGAATTAAACATAATTTAGACAAATGTGAGGAACATTTCAGCTACTGTTGGAAGATTTACCCCTCGAAATGAAACTTTTAACTTACAAAACATGTACGTTTTTATCCTATGTAATTTCAAAACTCTTATATAAGTCCTCCCACAGACACATCATTTATATATGAAATGTATTTCTAAGTAAGAGAATAATAGTCTTTTCACAAAAACTTGTTGAATGTCCTTCACCGTGTTGAAAGTATTGAAATAACAAGAGTCACAATACATATAGTGAAACAAATGGAAGTCAAATTAATAATTTAGTTCTGAATATTATATTGTTAACTTATAAAACATCAAGCGTCTAACCTTTGAACACTGCACAGAAAGTATTGTTTCCTTTGATGAATACAATTGTGGTAAAAGCTGCTACCAATTAATCATCAATATCTGTTGTATTTTATTTCAACACTGATTGAGATGATTATGTAGCTTTGAAGGGGTCAGACTGAGAGATCAAATCAAATCCTTTTTTTGTTTTAATAGAAAAACTTGTGAACTACACAGTGCCTGGCTCCAAACCACAGACAGTCAAAGATAGCAACCAAAGAAAGGCATATTCATAAGAAATCAGATCCAATCAGTTGATGCCCTAAGGGTAACTTAAAACTTGTTAAAGCGACCTTTAATACCTGAGAGGGTAAGTGTTTGTTACTTAAAAGATACATTTAGCTTGTGTAGTTACTGAGAAAGTAATTGAGATGGAAAATTAGGCCGAAGTGATGTTATAATACAGTGACTGTTAACAGAAGTATACACCTTGTCACACATGCGATCACAATCTAAACTATTTGAATAGCACATATGCATGGAGACATACTAAATGCAGATTCAATGCATACATTTTTTAATATTTTATCACCACCTGGTCACCTTTTTAACATGTTATATACAGTATTTTATAAACAAGAACAAACATCAACACAAACCTGCTTTAAGACAACAATCTGGTCCGCAGCCTTCAGATATTGTAGTTGGTGAGTAACCAGTATACGAGGCTTCTTCCTCAAAAGTCCACAAATGCACCTAAAGATATATATATATATTTTGTGCTGACATACTTCCATAACTTAGACCTGATTAACTGATTTTTACAGGAGTGATGGACAATAATATTGAGATGTTAATAACAAGACTTACTTTTCAAAGAGGTGCCGTCCCACCTCAGCATCCACAGCACTGAGCGGGTCATCCAGCAGGTAGATATCTGCATCCTGATACACTGCTCTAAAAGTACACACATGTGAAGGTTATTGTCATTATTTATCACTTACACCAAATAAAAATGTACATTGCTGCATTTTTATAGCAAACCTTGCTAAGCTGACCCTTGCCTTCTGTCCTCCACTGAGGTTGGCCCCCCTGTCCCCAACCAGTGCCAAGTCCCCACCTGGCAACAGGTCCAGGTCCTGAACAGGGTGCAAATGCAACCGTTACCAGTCATTCACATTAACAAGAAACTCACTTCCAACTAAACTTTACTAACACCTAGACTACAGAGTGTGAAGATGCAGCAGGGCATGTGATTCTCACTCTCTTGAGGGCGCAGGCTCTCAGGACTCTTTCATACTTCTGGGGGTTCAGCTCTTTCCCAAAAAGAATGTTGCTTCGAATCGTACCAGGTAAAATCCAGGGCTGCTGACAGGTGTATGTAAGATTTCCTCTGACCTTGACCACACCACTCTCCTGACTCAGCTCTCCCAGAACCACACTGAGGAGTGAGGACTGACATGCACAAACACAGAAGAAATAACAGACCACATGTTTATAACTTTTCTAGGTGTTTTCTTGATTGCTTACAGTCTTTATGTTAAGCCAATATCCGATTGCACTAGCTCCGTATTTGCCACACAAAAACAAGAGCGGCTTATTATTCTCGTTTAATTCTCGGTAATAAAGTGAATAAGTATGTATTTTTCAGTTCTTTCAGTTGAGGAAGATAATGTATAGTGATGCCTGAAAACAATCTAACTATCCAACAGCCTGGCTTTAGATAGAGATGCTTACAACACAGTCCTACAAAAGCTTTCCTTTATGGTAAAAGCATGGTATTTCATTTGTATTTCTTACAAATGTAAACATGTAATGTCTCCATTGTATCAGTATAAGCCAATAGCCCTAGTGAAATTCTTTATGGCATTCGACTGCTGGTATAAAGTCAAACCTAGCACTGACTCTATGCTGTACTAATAGTACCACTTTGACCTTTATATAATAAACTATTTCAAATTGACTTGACATGTCACATGTGCAGCATGACTATAAGCCTGAGAGTACAAAATTGACCTGACCTTTCCAGCCCCAACAGGTCCGATTACTGCCACAAGCTGCCCTGGCGCCACTGTGAAAGACACATTCTGTAATGTTGGAGCCTCTAGCATCTGTAAATAAACAGAAATTGTCATGTAATAACTATTCAGACTGTTAATGTCGAATTAAGCCTATTTATACCTCAAAATCATAAGTTTGTCCTCAAGGCTTCACAATCTGCATAGCAACACTCTCTATCCTTACTTGAGGGCTGTAAGGATTGTAGCACATGAGCTATGTACAGATAGAAAGGAGACATGTTGCCCACAATAATTCTCACCTTATCCCAGTAGCATATTAAGTCCTGAATCTTCACATAACAGTCCTTCTTGTCTGAAAAGGGAAGCCCCAGGTGCTGAGGAGCAACTTCATCGAGCAGAAGAAAAGTCTTAGAAGAAGGAAGCACATTCAGAGCTCTAGTTTACATTGACCGTATTCAACACACACTGGGTACAATAAGGTTTTTGTGTGGTGTATTTACCTGAATTCTTTTAATGCTGATTAGAGACTCAGAAACCTTCTCTATAGCAAAAGGAAAGAAGAGCGTGATGGTGAGTCTGACCGCCCCGTAGAGGGAAACAGCCATGAACACTCTGCTGGCAGACAGCTGGTTTCCTGTCAGGACGTAGACGCAGACGGTGATGAAGACGATGATCTTGTTGGCCACAAAGAAAGATGCCATGTTCAGACCACGCAGATAGGAGCTTTTCATGATCTTGGAGATTTCCATTCTGTACAATAACAGGAGTTGTTGTCAGTAAAAGCTGTTTAACAAACATGATGCACATTTGTGTCAGCTAACACAGGCCTTTGACTTTAATGAGCTTGTTATTAAGAGGATAGGATGTCAGATTCTAATTTATTTTTGATAAAAAGGGAAAGCAGGTTATTTTTGGCTGTACCTTCTGATCTCATCCACCAATGCAGCAAAAGGCTTCTCCCATCCATACATTTTAATAACACGGATACCAGTGATGACTTCATTCATTGTCCGTATTCTGTCATCTGTTAGGACTGCTGTGTCAGCCCTAAAACAACAGACAAACATTGCAGCAACGGCACCAGTGCAACACACACAGTCAAATGAAAAATTATTTTCTTGATTTGAACTACAATGTAATAACTACAAACCTGAGACTAGAGAACAACTGTCCGAACATTGTCTGTACAGGCATCAGGATGAAGAAGACAGCCATACCCGCAAGGCATGATGGGCCAATAGCATACATCAACAATAATATCACAGTTACAGCTTGTAGAGGCCCGATCCACAGAAAGTGCAAATATAAGGTCACCTGTAAGAAAAATATGAAAAGCAAAGGATTGGGGTAAGGTATGTCTTTTTTGAATGGGTTACTGGATATTAAATATGAATAAAAAAATATAAACATAGCATGCTTTCAGATAATTACCTCATCAAATTTGTTGACATCATTGGATAAGAGGTTAACAATTTGTCCTGTGGTAGTTTTGGCAAATGCTTTGCTGTTAAGACAAAGAGCCTTTGCAAAACAAAGTTGTTAATTGATGTATATGAACCAAAGGAATACGACAGACGATGACATTATACATTAGTGTCACATAATGACTGACCTTCTGATAGATCATGTGGCACATGGCCACACGAATCTTCATGCCCACTCGCTGGACATGGTAGAAATAGAGATGATGAAGAACAGACAGACTGATACAGGACAAGGAGATGCCCGCAGCGGATCTGTAGGCCTCATGGACCGCAGCTGTGTTGTCGGTGCGGTCTTCTCTCTCAAAGTACTCAATTATGTTCCCAAGTAGCAACGGCTGAATGACTTTGATAACTTCCTGATAGAAAATTAGATTAAGGAGAGAAACATAAGTCTTAAAACTGTATTATTTCTGTAGATGTGTGTAACTGTACCTCTATAAAGATGTAAATTCCAATGAGTGCGTATGATCTCCAGTAGCACTGTACAAGAACATTTTCAAGTCTGGGTGGGCGCAGATCTTTTGCCGCCTGTTGAACCTCTCTGTTCCAGTACCTGTGAAATGTAAAAGGTGTTAAACCCAAATCAGTGTATATAGTACGACACTAGAATTTATGTATAGTACATGCAGAAATAGATCACTGTGGCATCGGACTCCAAGAATCTAAACCTAACCATCGTATTAGCTACTTTGTACTTTGGAAAATGTACAGTAAATATGTATTTGAACGTAATTAACTAAACTCTACTCAACATCTTACCCTTGCAGCTCCTCCCCGAGTGTTTCTGATGCGTCTTCTGGGAGAACGTTATACATGTCATCTTCCTCCAACTTCCTCTTGTACCCAGTTCTGAACAAGGGGTTAAGCCAACTAGAGAGAAAGTCAATGAAAGCATGCTCAGAAGTTAAAATATAATATGGAAATTATTGTTCAAAGAATCTATAGACACCTAGATTTAGCCTTATTAAAAAAACATGAAAATAAAAGTACTGTTTTTTACCAGAACATATAAATGTATTGCTACTGTACCTTATGTAAGTAGTATGTTTGTATGAAAGGTGTAAGAAAATATCAACACCTGGGTATCACAATATTATGTTTTGCAATACTGAATACATTCTCAAAAACACTGTATGGATTTTTGAATTGTTTAAATAAAGATATTGGTGGAAGAAAGTGGTTTATTTTTATGGTGGGTGTTACACTAAGGGGGTGTAATACTAGAGAGCAGATTTTAAAAATAATTCAAGTGCAATCCATGTTTTTCTTTATTAATAACGTTTTTTGCAAACTTCCAAAACGTGCTTACTACTAATGACTACTAATAACAAATGTTATTATATAATATTTACTGTTTCTCATTTTCATTTTTTGTAATCAATGCTAGTAAAAGCTACTTTTTACTTTACTATTGAAACATATTCACCCACTTTGTATGTGTCATGCTACTTTAGAAGTACTCCACAGACCTGCCTGTTGTCATTTAAGTGTATAGGAATAAACAGGTACCTAAAGCCTGAGCTCTTTCCTGTGTGTGGGAGGGAACAGTGAGGTTATGTTTTCGCATGGACTGATGATGAGCTACCTGCTATCACATCCAGTGGACAGTCCTTTGAGTTGCCACACACAGTCACACAGGAGAGCTCTCCATTCAATTAATGTCAAACACGGCAGTCCCTGAAGGCCGCTTCTCTTACCAGAAGAAAATCTTGGAGAGAAGATTAGCTGAAGCCAACGGATTATCCTTCTCCTCCTTCCGCACTTGTTCCATGCCCCCCACCAGTAAAAGCGACCTGAGGACTTTCTCTTCAGGCTATGTGGCGGGGGGATATCGACAGAAACTCAGAGGAGGTCAACCCTGAGAGAACAGATGCTGTGAACTCCAATGTCTGACAATGTCATCCCCTCAGACATCCAGGACAGGATTACTAAAGGACACAAAAACTGGTTTGGAAGTCAGGTGAGCGGGGCACTGCTTAGCCCCGCCCACCGCCTCAGGATTGGCTCACTGAAGTCTCCATCACTTCTCAAAGTCCTTAATGAAATCTTGTCCTTTCTTACCCAGTCATTATGTACACAAAAGTACTAAAAATAAAGTGAAATGTCATCCGAAATTAATCAGAAGTAGAAGTCCTCATGCATGAATTATACTGATAGTGTGTATATGATTTTTGATGGATTGTTGTTATACTAGATTATTTCATTTCATTGTTTTTATTACATTTGTAAGCGTTTTAGTTTATTTTAAAACTCACCTGTATTTAGTATTTAAATGTTAGCCGGTTTCGTTAGAGATCATTTCAACTACTCTATGTTATTGATATTAAGTAATTTTTTTTAAATAATAAGGGGAAAGTATACCAGTCTAGTAGTGAGGTTATTTAAATATTTTCAATAACTTGGTTCAAGGATTTCCCAGAAAAAAGTGTGAGAATCTTTGAATCAAGAATCAAGAAGAAAATAAATGTATTCTTCAAACAGTTTTGAAGAAAATAAGACTTTAATGACTCAGTAACATGCAATCACTTCTTCTTCTTCTTCTTCTTCTTCTTCTTCTTCTTCTTCTTCTTCTTCTTCTTCTTCTTCTTCTTCTTCGTGCTTTACAGATATATGTGTGTATAAAATGTTGACTGATAGCAGTCTCAGGATATACATATTTATTTTTCAAGGAAGGTAGGCCTAGAAAACTGACATAGGTAGAGAGTTAATTTTCACAACCTTGTGTCTAAATGAAGATTTTTGACATTAAAGGTCCTAACAACAATTTCTGTTGAATTTACTGAATTAGAAATGTTTACCAATAAACTTTTGATCTTAATTTGTTCTCAAATATGAACCTACTCCTACTGTCTTAGTTTCACGTAATATTTATTTATTGAGGTCGACGACACAATTGAACTGATTTTGTTCTCCTCTCTCTTTTTACTAGTGGCTTTATTTTTCTTATTCTATTTTTGGTTAAAAAACAATGCTCTCATGAGTGACAAAAACATATGTTTACATATAAGCTGACAATCATTAGTCCACTGCTTGAATCCTACTGTATGTAGAAATAGATGAACCAGTAACTGGACTTTGTCACATTTCTTCTCCTTTTGAGGATTAATGATTACTCCTTTATTTTTGTTATGTTAATATGGTACTTGACCTTATTTGTAGACCAAAATGTGCATTTAAAACACTGCTTGCCAACATTTAATGAATAACTGACAGCTCATTTTTCCTTCCGATTGTGTCCATCCCTCACCACTAGAGACACGGTCAAGATGTCCTGTTTGTTAATGATCTCAATAAAACACATGTCCACAGTGTAATTTGCCTGCCTGGGGCCATTTTATTTCTTCTCATTTTCCTGAATCTGCTAAAAGACTTTAAACATATCGTAAAGCTCCAAATGTCCAGCTTGCAGATCATGGCTCTTCTCAGCGGCATGGCCGGGCTGGGGGCCACTATCGCTGCCACGGTGTCCAACGAATGGAGGGCCACCAGCCGAGCATCCTCAGTCATCACAGCGACCTGGGTACTCCAGGGTCTCTGGAACAACTGTGCTGGAAATGCCATTGGAGCGCTGCACTGCAGACCGCATCATACTATTTTCAAGCTGGAAGGTAAGGGTCCGAGTTTCATGGTGTCCACATATTGGTCTTTTCTCACTCGGGTGCAGGGGATATACCGTGGAGGGTTTTTATGAAATGTTCCTTATGCCTAATGACACAATGTACACTAGATATTCTTGGCTACAGGAAAACATGTATCACCTTTGTTTCACAGGCAAATATGTGCTATATCAAGAACCATTCATTTGTTGGCAACATTTATTCAGAATTTAGACCCAGTGTAAATTAATCTAATAAGTAAACTTTCATCAAAAACATAATTTTTGAGTGGTTGTTATTAAGTATCTCTCGTGGAGGATGGCTCTGAAAGCTTTTTCTTTCAATTTATTAGGGAAATAATCAGATTATCTCTGTAATCTAAAAATGAAACAATTGTTCATCTTGAGTCTCAGATTGTGTCGCTGGTCACAGATATCTGTTAAAAAATTAAAAAGACAAAAACAAGTTATACCTGTTTCCATAATGAAATGATCAACATATTTTACTGGTGATTGTTTATATAATCACAATCTACTACTTTTTTCCTTCAAATTTAGGATTAGAAAAAACTAAATTCAGGCTGAAAAAGAGTTCCAGATTATGGCTCGGGTCTTAACTGCAGCAAATGTTTAATCCTTTTTTGGACATTTCAATCTGGGAGTGTCTGTGTCACAGTTTACACTCACAGACCTGTTGTTGGCAATAACGGACCAGTCAGGAAGGAAATGATTGTCAGACTGCTTTCCATTCAAACAATTCACTTACTTTGTGCATCCTTTAATTTATTTGTAATGTTGTTTATTCACATACTTGACACTTGATGCGTGATAATGAAGGCATTTAGTTATGTTTGTCCATAATTAGACATTCCTTGATATGCACAACGAGTTACTCTTTTTGCTAGTTTGTTAGGGAGTTGTATTAGTTTAATGCTTAGCTAGTTATATCGTTTTATATAACTTATAGTTTTAACCCATTTTCTGTTCTTTTCTTTTCTTTTCTGGTATTTCTTTCAATATGCTGAAAATATTCAAATTCCCTGTCTTTAAAACTTAATTTGAAGATAACATATGCTTCATAAATGTCTCTTTACAATCATTTAATCCAGGAAGATGTTGTTTTACGGCATACCTTAAAAAATAAACAACTATTACAGATTGTTGTGTGCTTACAGTAACATGATATGAATAATAAAACATGTATATTAAGCAACCAGTCATGCCAACATTATCTGAGTTTTTCAATTGTAACTGTATTGTAATATTATATTTTCACTGTACTATGTATTCTTTTATTGACCTGTACTTAAATCATGTTTTATAATTGTTTGTGTGATAGAGATTATGCAATGTTTTTAGTGTTTGTTGATTGTTATGTACCTGCCCGAGGACTGCAGATGGAAATGAGCTAGTAACTATAATCTGTCATAATTCATATCTTGTTTTTTCTGAGATTAATATATTTGTATGCATGGTCCTTGTTGAAATACATACATTATAATAATATGGCCTAATGCCACCAGATTTTCAAATTAGAAAAAGGCTTTTTGCTTAATTTCCCTCTTGTTTGCTTCTTATCTGTAAAGCATATATTTTTAATTTAGCCTTTTCTCCATTGATTAACACATGTCTCTGTAATGTAACAGAAAGCTTGTTTCATCCAAATGCTGGGACACCGTAGTGAGTGACATGCTGTTAATACGTTATCTAAATCCTGTGTCTCTTTTAGGTCTTTCAGGAAGTAACTGCTCGCTTGTTGAGTATTAATCGTAGGTGGCAGAGCAAGGTTAAAGGTCAAAGGGTCAAATTCACTGTACTGTAACCCATCGCAAATGTTTGATCTGTATCTTTGGTTTCTTGAAACTGTTTTTTATTTAATTCCCACAATAATCAAAAATATGTGAAGATTCAGATGCACATTTTGAATGCCAGATATAATCAACAAATATCATGTGTTATTATTATTTTAAGCACGATAATGCATAAATAATAAGTTTAACTTTTGCAACTTTAAGTATACCGTAATGCTAGTACTTCTGTACATGTATACTTTTGAAAAAATATATTTACTTGTGAGAGAGTTATTCTACACAGCGGTATTGCTACTACACCTAAGTAAAAGATCACACAGAGCAAACAATTAATACATTTTATAAGTCATTTCTGATGACGTCACAATACTTTCTACATCCAGAACATTCAGTCCCCATCATCTATGAGAGCGAGTCACAGTCACGTGCACTGGAGGAAAATAGACCATTGGTCACTTGTCGATGTTTAAGGCCAAACTCCTCCTACAGAATATAACAGTCCACAACACATTAATTATCAATCACAGCCGATTCATGGAACTTACTGGTGCAGAGTTTAGCTACATTGTTAACAAGCTTTACTAGCAAGGGAACCATTAATCAATTGAAGGTCTCACTAACCTAATTGGCCGTCACACAGCAGAGTGGAAGAGTCCTCTCTGCAGAAAGAGCAGCATGTTTCAGGAGATATTGGCCTATATTTTAAGCACTTCGGGCTGGGTGCTGGTCTCCTCCACCTTACCGACGGACTACTGGAAGGTTTCTTCACTTGATGGAACAGTTATCACCACAGCTACCTACTGGTCGAATCTCTGGAAGACCTGCGTCACCGATTCAACTGGAGTCTCCAACTGCAAAGACTTTGCCTCGATGCTGGCACTGGATGGTCGGCCATTTTTCCCTTTCTTATTTGATTCTTAGTTGTCCTTTTCTGGTCAATCAGGTTGAGGTTTATTTTCTGATTTCTGTGCCATATAAGTGTTCAAACTCAGTTCCTACTTGTTGAAACTCATTGCCACTCGGGACTAATAGATACCCTAAGGCTTATTATTCAAGGAACAACTCATTTACCTTCAAATATGTCAATGTTTAGCCCCGTTCGTGAGGCTTGAAAGCTATAAAGGTGATTTACTAGGAACCTCGGGTGGTTTCTTCCACAGCTGACTGGTTTTAGGGGTTAACTTCCAAGGTAATCTTTGCCTCACATCTGAATGGGACATTTTATACCAGAAGAGTAACCGCAAAGTGTCTGAAAACAATTACTGTAGGGATACTTGACAAATTGTTTTCCTTGCTTTATGTGTATATTGATCACAAGTTCAATAACCCATTGACCTTTCAGTGTGCCGTTGTGAAAGTAGAGGACATGCAAAACCAAAGAACACTTTGCAGAGATTTGACCTTCATTTGATCCATTTTCAGGCTACATCCAAGCTTGCAGAGGACTGATGATTTCAGCCATTTGTTTGGGATTTTTTGGTTCCACATTTGCTCTTGTTGGAATGAAATGCACCAAAATCGGAGGAACCGACAAAAACAAAGCCAGGATTGCCTGCTTTGCAGGTGTAAATTTCCTTTTAAGTGGTAAGTGTGGGCAAATTTACTATGGAATATCTGTATCTTTTTCCTTTTGGATGTAGTTACATTCCCTTTTCTTTCTTGTTCTTTTTAGGCATCTGCTCACTTTCATCTTGCTCCCTTTATGCTCACCGGATTACATCGGAGTTTTTTGACCCAATGTTTGTTGCACAGAAGTAAGAACTGTCTGACACCCAGTGACTGTTTTATTGTAACTTAACCACTTTAATGATCATTAAGCATCAGTGTTTCTCTGCAGGTATGAACTTGGAGCCGCTCTCTTCATTGGCTGGTCAGGTTCTATCCTCTGTATCCTCGGGGGCACCATGCTCTGTTTCTCCATCGCAAGTTCAAAGAGGTTTGTTTTGGTAACACCAACTGTTATTAATAATCTTAACATTATACAGTATATATGTATTATTCAATTTAGTTGAGCCATGTAGGTGTTTGAGTTATGTAGATGAATCTGTTTCTGTCTCTTCACAGCCGCAGTCAGGCAAACTATATCTACAAAGGTACTGCTTCTCATATCTCCTCCTTCCCGAGAGGGCAGGCAAAGCCTGTGACCCAGAGGCCACCCCCAGACTACAGCAACTCCTCCAGGATGCAGCACTTTGATAAGAATGTTTATGTGTGAGGGATGTGAATATAAAACACTTGAAGTTGAAGCCACCAATGAGTCTTAAAATATGTAATCTATACTATGTAAAAGATACAGCATACTATGAAACATGGTGGTTTCTGTCTAATAGCACACAAATGTACTGAGATTAATCTGTAGCTCACTAGGAATTACATTTAAATACTTAAGTGTTTCTTCCAGGGGTCAGTAGTTCATAGTAGTATGATACAGTTTACTCTCTGATGTTGAAAAATTGCATATTCTTTTTTTTTAATGTATTTGGCAATAAAGTGTGTTTTAAGACATTTATTTTGCTGGTTGTATCTTTAACGTTTAGTTAATCTGTTGTGAAAATATTTATAAAGTGTTTAAAACACAGATTTTCCTGCGACTAGGATCGTAATGCTCCAAGCTAACATGAAGAAGGTCGCGAAAGGACAGCATCATGGTATTTTCTGATTGAAATGTGTATCAATTTTATATAAAAGTCTGTGAGTAAGAATAAAGGATACATTTGAATTTCAGCAGACTGAAGAGGGCAGCAGTGTTGTACTTTGTGTTACCTTCTCTTAGAAGATTCTTCAAAAAATAACACTTTGGACACAAAAATATGTGTGTCTTAGAAACAAAATGGGCTTTTCTAACTACTGTAAATACAAATTAAATGTACCTGTACCATTCATTGCTGGATATAAACCTGAAACAAAAAACCAGGAGTTGATGTGAATTGCCTAAAGCGGTCAGCACACTCCAGAAAGTTGACAGTAAACATCTCACCCAATTGCAGAGTGCCCTCATCAACACCAATGGCACACGGCAAACACACAATGTCACCCTGTCCTGAAACAGGAAACCACTCATCATCCTTTGCCCCACAGAGTAGACGTTAAATGTGTTTTCTGCTTCTGTTCAACTGAGTGGTAGATACCTGGTTAATTTAGTGATTTCAGAAATGAAGAAACGTCTGATCCAAGTGCTTGGCTTTTTGATGTCATCACTGGGATGGGTGTTTGTGCTTTGCTCCATGGCCATGGACTACTGGAGAATCGTCCAATTAGGAGGACAAGGAGGCTCCTTTATCATCAAAGTGGCCTGGTACTGGTCCAACTTGTGGAAGGATTGTTTCACAGACTCCACGGCTGTCACCAACTGTAGAGACTTCCCCGTGCTCTGGAGTGTGACCGGTAAGTTCTCCACATGTTGCATTAGCAATACAATATTTCTAAGTCTTTCTCTTTGAATTAACAAAGTGATTAACAGATCCATAGTTTGATACTCATAGCAGAACACAGTTATAGGTAAGTGGTCTCGATGAAACTGAGTTACACCATTGCCTGAAGTGAGACTAATTGACTTTAGAAAGATGAAATGATACAATCTTTGTATTAGAAGTTAATTGTTGAACTTCTATAAGCAACCACCTGCCCCCTAGCAGCTTTATTTGATATAGTGTGACCATTTGGTTTGGTTTCTAATGTTTGCTAACTGTAGCTTGATATTGTCATGTACATATTGTAACATTACTGGGTCAGTTAGCTGATTTTGGGATTCTTTACTTGTGCTATTGTCATCCCATATTTAGGCATAACATTACCCATGATTTAACATTATCTCCTTACTTTGTGTGAATTGCCTGGATCAAAGCCTTGACAAATATTAAAAGCAGAAACTATATAGTATTTATCCTGATTCTAGATTATTTTGTGTCTGACTGAATTGTAAGGCTGTTTTCTAACTTGAACTATTTATTTCTGTTTCTCAAAGCTTATGTCCAGGGAGTGAGAGGATTACTAATGTGCGGGTTAACTCTTGGGTTCTTCGCAATACTACTTTGCTTTCTTGGTATGGAGTGTACTTTTATTGGAGGAGCTGAGAAAACCAAGGACAAACTTCTTCTTGCTGGAGCAGTGTTTCATATTGCTGGCAGTGAGTTCAAAACAAACACGTGTTTGCCTCTGTAAATGAAATAAGTGTTTTGTCATCATTATTTCTGAATACCAACGAAACCTCTGCATGCAGGTGTGTCAGATGTTTCTGGCTACTGCTTATACATAAACAGGGTTGCAAGGACAACCTTTGCTGCCACTGTTGGTCCGGGAGTCTTACGGTACACTGATTTTCTTCATAAAATTGACAACTTTATAAGAGTATTTCTTTAATTCTATAGAAAAATATTACAATATGGACAGTATGTACAATTTATCATGACTTTTGTCTTCCTTTTGAACCAATTCCAGGTACGACCTAGGACCTCCCATTTTTCTAGGATTGGTGGGATGTTTTTTAATTCTTTTAGGGGCTTTGTTTTACGCTGTTACAGTCTACCGAGTCATTTTCCCTGAAAGGTATTTAATTTAATTTAATATTCTTCCACCTTCACTAATTTCCTGTGCCTGCTGAATTCCTACCATGTAATACATGTTGGCAATGTTTTGATCTTTCAGGCAAGTATACGCATATGGAGGAGGAACATACATGGCGCCTCGCTCCAGAGGAAGAACCCTGTACACCGGATACTACAAACCACCCATGCAGTATGGATCTTATATGGGCTCACGACCGTCCAACAGCTCCAGAATCTCAAAGCTGTCACAGACAACACCCACGAAACTCTCAGAAAGAGACGCATTTGTATAGTAGTTTAAAGCAATTTTTTATGTACAGTTTTATTTTAACACAAACGTGCAAACTTCACAAGACAAGTTACCTCGAAATGGGATTTACTAGCAATCAGGTTATGACATACGGATAGAATGACAAAACCCTCTGCTTTATTTTCCAGGCACCATGTATAATTTTAAATCAGTTGTTTCTCATGTTTTCTTTTGGTAAAACAGGTCATACTCTGTTTAAAATACACTGCCCTGTGTTTACTCATCATTTGTGTTAACTTTGCTGTGATTCAAACAAAGAACATATTAAAAGTTATAATGTTTCTTGGATATCTAATATGTATATAATAAACAAGACATTTTCACCATATGAGTATTATTAATTTAATTGTTTTTCTTTATTGTTTATTGTCCATGGTTTTTGATGCAAACAAACAAAAGACCAGAAACACTGTAAACTGTACCTTTGGCTCACAACACGTATACATGCAAAATACTGTATGATGCATTTTTTTAGGTTAAATATTTGACCAGCGTTTTCTTTTACTGTAAAGAAAACAAAAGAAAAACAGGGTTGCATTACATTATTTAATTTAAGTATTGGACCCCATACCCATCATAGTTTATATGCCAACTAAAAAAGGTACACACTAAAAGACACACACAAAAGTGAGCATTGCTTGGTTTGTACACAGTTTATTACATTTTCATAACATCCTAGAGCTTAAATAAACATTATATGACAGGGAGTCAAAGTGACCTGTACTGGATGATAATGGACTATTGGCCACTTGTTGATGTTGATGGTCAAACTCCTCTCTATAACAGTCCTCAATACATACGTTTTCAATCACAGCCTATCTATTAAACCTGAAGAGCATAGCTACATGTTCAACACGCTTACGGGCAAGGGAGCAATTCATCAATTTCAAGTCTCATCAACTTAATTGGCTACTTAATGTACCTGGAGATCTGGGTCTTTGTTTTTCACATGTCAGGCTGGGTGCTGGTGTCTTTCACCTTGCCGACAGAATACTGGCACTTATCTACACTTGATGGAACAGTAGTTACCACAGTTACACATTTTTCTAATCTGTGGAAGATCTTTTCGATTTGATTGGAGTCTCTGAGTGCAAAGACTTTCCGTCCATGATGGCACTTGATCGTTTTTTTGTTTAAAAGCGGATATTAAATGGATGAAATGAATTGCATTTTTAAGTTGGGGTTGTATGAGTTCTCCATTGTATATGCTCTTTACTCTGTCATCAGAAAGCCTTACAGGCATTAGGTTGTTTTACATTTCTATGTGTGGTCGAGTGCTGCAGATCAATCCCCAGTTTCCAAGTGTCTTAAAAGTGTTCAACCTCAGCTCTAATTCAAATGAATTGAATAAGCTCATTATTACTCTGCACTTAGATATCCTAAGGTCTAATGAGTTAAGGAACAACTCGTTCACTTCCAGATACGTAAGTGTTGAAGCTTGAAAACTATAAAAGAGATTTAGCAGGAGCCTCGGGCGGTTTCTCCCATGGCTCACTAGTTTCAGTGGGTAATTTTCAAGGTAATACGAATGGGACCCTTTTGACAAGAGAGTGACTGCAAAGTGCCTGAAAACAATTAGGGTTGCTTATAAGATATGTTTCTTGCTTTAGGTGTCAATCTGTTGCAAGGTCAGTAACCCATTGATGAGAAAATGGAGGAAATGCAAAACCCCGGAGAAGAGCCAAAGTAAGTCAAACTGATTGCACAAGCATGCATGGGATTGATGATTTCAGCTATCTGTTTGGGATTTTTTGTTTCAACACTAGTCCTTGTTGGAACTTGCCTGCTTTGGCTGGTGTACATTTCTTACTTAGTGGTGAGTATAGGTGAATAGTTTGTGTAATATATATTCACACAATTCACACAACAAGAACTGTGTAACTGAACTGACTATAATTAGGTGAGCAGGATATGTTCCATATTTCAAAGTTTTTCCGCTTAAATTACAGAAATGTTTTGTGCGTTTATTATTTATTGATACTAACATGGAGAACACATTTAGAGTATGCACAATAATATATATATGAACTATATCCAGGTATGACCTTCCTTAACTCCTTTATTTTTGTTCATAGCAGAGTTGACAGCTTTTAATTGCATGTTACGTTTTTAGATTAACAATAACGAATGTTGTGTATTATATAATCATATTTCTCAGGAAAGTCCTTGTCATGATGTGCCAACATATTCTTAATGAACTATTATTATTCTGTGGAATTGATAAGCTGATGATGGCAGGTGTATTGTACTAACAACAAACACCTGACCTTAGTGACTGTCACAAAACATTGGAATCACAATTCAAGGCATAGCATGTGATGATGTACACAAACCAAGTTGGGCCTGCTTGTGTGGTTTGTGCAAGTGTGTGTGTGTGTGTGTGTGTGTGTGTGTGTGTGTGTGTGTGTGTGTGTGTGTGTGTGTGTGTGTGTGTGTGTGTGTGTGTGTGTGTGTGTGTGTGTGTGTGTTCCCTTTAGTGCTGGAAACACAATGCGCAGTTTCAGCAGTGTTCAAGAGCTGCTGTGCCATTGCTAGTATTTGCTTTTTCTCTGTCTAGAGACTCAACTTCAAGGCAAACATGAGTTACAGGACTGTGGTGATGTACATGGAGATTGGCTGCTTTATTGTCTGTGTATTTGGATGGATCCTGGTGTGCTCCACCATGCCCACAGAGATCTGGACATGGTCGGAGGTAGACAGCATAGTCTTGACCACTTCAAACTACTTCTCCAACCTGTGGAAGGATTGTATATCTGATTCAACTGGAGTTTCTGACTGCAAAGGAATTCCATCAATGCTTGCACTAAACTGTAAGTAAAATGATAAAAGATGATAAATAATTAAAAAAGATCCTTAATCTTTTGTAACTGCATCTTGTCATGTATGCATAATATTGTTTTTTTGCTGTCCTTGGACAGGGGACATACATATGTGCCGTGCTCTCATCATCATCTCTATTATCCTGGCTTTTTTTGGATCAGTGCTGGTCCTGGTGGGAATGAAGTGCACTAAAGTTGGGGGATCAGAGATTGTTAATGCAAGAGTGACCTTTGCTGGTGGGATGAACTACCTTATCGGAGGTAAGACTTTACATAGACCTCTTTAAGTCATTTAACAATAAACTACATTATTAATCTCAAGATTAATAATGTAGTTTATTTTTTATATTTCAGGTCTGTGTTCGATGACCGCTTTCTCTTATTATGGAAACAAAATCAGAGCAGAATTTCAGGACCCAAACTACAAAGCTCAGAAGTACGTATTATTTTTAAGTGACATGGATAACTACAAACGTGCCTTATTTCAAATATCAACATTTATAACATTAATCTATGAAGAAAGAAATGTACATTAATATACTTTTCTTGTATGAACTACCAGGTTTGAAATAGGTGTTGGTGTCTTTATTGGCTGGGGAGGCTCCACTTTACTTGTTGTTGGAGGCCTTATTTACAGTATCTTCGCAGGGAGGGAAGGATTCAACTCAAGGTAAAAATGCTGCCACTGTATACTTTGTTTTTTTCTCCATCATTTGATTATTGATTAAAAAATAACCATCTATTTCTTGACTTCGAACCTTGCAGTCCTAAAAAATACCCTGACTACCAGTTGCCTAAGGACGACAGAAGTGTTGCCACAAAAAAGAGTATTGCGTCTGTGGCAATTACAGCGACATCTTATGGAAGAAAATCAAGGACCACCACCAGTGATAGTATTGGGAGCAGGATTTCTGAGATCACTTCTACCACATCCACATCCGCCACAAATGCATATGTATGACTTAATTTCAAAGGTTGAAAAAAAGATGAAATACATGGGTGGGCTTATCATTAGATTTATTTGAAATTATAAAATGTTTTCCACCGCAGACACATTCACAAATAAGGAATGGCTCTGTGTCCCAAAACCTGTGTATTAGTTATTTCAATATGTTGCTGTTGTAGTGAACTATTTATCAAATAAATAGTTTGAACAATGTATATATTAACAAATATTGTAAGATGTTTTGGAAATTTGCAATAAAGCTAAACGCTGAAAAAAACATTTATATATTACACTTTGTTTCCCCCGGACCATCATCAGGATAGAAATAATTTGTATTAATTGTCATGATGGAAAGTATCAAAGTGCATTTACTTGAACACTGTTTTTAAATGGAACATAGTATGCTCCTATGTTTAATTAGAACCACCATGCACATCAGGGATGTCTCTACAAAAATGTCTGTATCTAAACTCTAAATTGTTAACCAGCATATTGGTAATGATGTTACGTACTGGGCCGAGGCTTCAGAGCGTGGTTCGAGTAATCCAGGACGTTTAAGTTCAGAAAAACCCAAGGTTACCAGGACGTGTGGAGCTGGGTTTCCTGAATATGTCATTAAAAAACTGGACTTGAGCCTCTGTTTCTTTCTAACTTTACCACATTTTCTTATTTATCTCACTTCATTGCCACAGCCTCTTTATTTCCATAATAATTCCACCCCGAAATTGGTAGGTATCCATTTACTCCTTGTGCCAAATACACACAGATGCATTTCATAATGTGTTACCAGTTGGGCTCATTTATATATTAGGGTTAGAATTGGACTTGATTGTCTGAATATGTCCTTTAGGAAAAACTGGAATCAAGCCTAAATGTCCTTCTACCTTTTTCCATTTTGTTACACCACAATTAAAAAGGTTTTTACAAGAGTTTTATTTTTAAAGAACTTGCAAGAACTCCTCCCCGGCAGCTCAAGTAGGTAAAATAACAAAAATATTAGAGCATGCTGGGAGTTGAACCACTGACCCTCAGGTTGGAAGACATCCATGTACACCCTTGAGCCCCTTGAGCCAAAGTCACATCCACATATTGCATTAATATCTTACTATTATCTTACATTATAACATTATCTACCATTAAAAGCTTCTACCTTCAAGTTTATAATAAATAATAAATAAATAATAAACTAAGACAAAGTATACTAAGAGTGTAGTAAGCCTTAAGTGTTTTCAGGTAGATCAGCATGGGATGTGGATCAGCTGGAAGGCAGTTGACTATCAATCGCAGGGTCCCGTGTTCAACAACCGGTCAAAGTCTTTTTTTTGCTAATAAAAGCTACAGCTAAATGTAATAATGTAGTTAATAAATGTATTCTTCGATGTTGTTTATGGAATGCTCTTAACATCCCGATAGCAATGAATATCTTAAGTGCTTTGACAAAAAATCCATAAAAAAAGGTCATCTGTGGAAGCCGTAGTACTGTAAAAAGCACGACCAATCATTTTATAACAAAAAGCACGACCAATCATACAAAATAACTGGATGGCCTACCTGCCTGTCAGCCTTCCATCTGTGCACAAACTTATCTCGTGCCCTCATTGGTCATGTGCGCGTTTGTGTGTGTTGGAGGAGGGGCTCTGTAAGGAAGTGGCAGATTTTCTCCGGTTGTGTATTTTCAAATTCTAGCTCACTCGAGCCCACCTTTAAGTTTATGAATATTATTAAAGAATAAAGATCCCTCTTTGCAAAGTTTTCCAGCCTCCTTAGGCTTTTTATTCACAATCATTTAACTGGAATATATCAAGTTTCAAGATTCAAGGCTTCATTGTCATGTGCACAGCAGTTACAGAGTAGCCTAGATATGGCAATGAAAATTGTAGGTCACAGGGTCCTCCAACAGCGCAACATGAATATAGGACATAAAACAAATAAAACAGATACAACAGTGCAAGAGAATGTTTTGATATGTGCAAGTTAATACAAATAAAAAAGAAATATTGCAAGAAGAGTCTATAAGCAAGTAAATGGAATATTGTATATCAGATAAATAATTAGCAAAATGAAAACAGATGAATGTTTATGGATGTTCTTTAAAAAGTTCAGGTGTTTGATAGTCTTATAGCCTGTACAATATTGATACAAATTGATTACATGAAAATATGATTTCATGTTCATTGTTTAGAGTTATTCTAAGGCTTTACTCATTGGAAACTCGGTATAAGAAAGATCACACTGTTGAGATGTCATATCTGCCTGTTTTACACACGTTGACCAACAGGGGGGTTTGTGTTCAAATGAAGCCTCATGAGGTGAACCCTATAGTCTATGGGTGAACCCAGAGCCCTAATAGATATCTATAATTATTTTATATATTATAATAAATACCTATAATTCTATCTATACGGCGCTGGGTGAACCCTTTCACGAACCAATTGGCTTCAAAGCTTCATAAGGCTTCCTGTCGCCATCACTACATAGCCTATTGGTCCCCACAACAGTTGCCTGATCCTGAGTGGGACCCACAAATGTAGTAAACCCAACACACACGCAAATACACACAAAAAATGATGACATATCTTGTGCTGCCGTGGCTCCTCTCAGTTGAGCCAACAGAGGTGGGCGGGGCTTTCTAAACAATCCAGCCAATCACAGTCCCCCACGACCGGCCGCTTTCGTTTGCTGCCCCACTGTGTAGGGTTCGTGAGTGACTGGGAAAGGAGAAGCAATGCTCAATAGCAGTCAACACATGGGACTGTGTAGAATTAAGTGAGACATTACTTAAAATAAGATCTGCTGAAGTGTGTGTTACATAGCGGTATTGGACCTATCTGATGCACATCTAACCATGGTTTCCATCGACCATGTTGCTCACAAAGTACTGACTTACATCCCATATGTTCTTGTTTTGATTGACCTGAGATATGAAGGTAAGGAGCTGAATAACGTTATACTTTACTTGGCAACTAGCATATAACTTTGAACACAGTTTAGACAGCCTGGTTGTATTCAAACTGTTTATAGTCATGTCAATGGTAACGTTAGCTAGTAAAATCGATATCAGATGGCTAACATTGAGCTAGCTTATCACTTGTGTTGTTGTCGTTTTTAGCTGATTAGTTAAACAACGTTTAACCTATGCGTGATTGAACAATCAATTGCGTCTTTGCAACGTTAGGTTGTTAATGTTATTGTCTTTGTGTAAGCTGACCTATCGTTAACTCACAAAGTATGACAGCTAGTTTAACCTAGCCTACATGTCAAAGTAACCTCTCTGTCACTCAACGCTACTGACTTATGCTAAATGGTACCGCATGTCAGAGGCAATGCACATGAGAACTGTATTGTACTTACTGCTCTGTGGCAATATGCTCCGTATTGTGTTGCAGGATACAGTGGTGTAAAGTAACTAAGTAGATTTAAGTACTGTACTTGAATAACATTTTGAGAAGCTAGTACCTGAGTAATTTAATGTTTTGCTACTCTGTACTTCTACCCCACTACAATACATATTCATTTAATACCTTTAATACATTCAGTTACTTTACAGATTTTGTTTAATGATGTGAAATACAATTTAACACTTAAATAAGACTTTAGTATGTACAATTCACAATCTACCCTGCAACATTCAAAGGAATTCAAACTAGCTGCTGCACCTTTACGAGCTTTGATAATATTTGAATGCATCAATAGTTATAATCAAAACATATACTATATATTATTATGAAATAGGCTATTGTGTACTGTATAATGAACACATTTACTTGTGGTAGTTTAAATATATTTTCATGCTAATACTTTTGTACTTTTACTTGATTAACATTTTGATTACAAGACCTATACTTGTAAGAGGGTAGTCCTACACTCTTTTACTTAAGTACAAGATCTGAGTACTTCTTCCACCTCTGGCAGGATATCAGTATTGTGTGTTATTTTCAGGAGTGAAATGTGGCAGGGATGGGAGTGTGGACAATCACATGGAGATGGGAAAGAAACTGCTTGCTGCTGGCCAGCTAGCCGATGCTCTCTCTCATTTCCATGCTGCTGTGGGTAAGTAGCAGACATTCTTTACGCAAAAAAGGTGTAACATTTTTGTACAACAGGGAATATGATTAAACCATGACGTTTTCATCGATGTCATGTCAGACGGAGACTCCAAGAACTACATGGCGTACTACAGGAGAGCCACAGTGTTTCTAGCAATGGGGAAGTCAAAGTCTGCACTGCCAGATTTGAGCCGAGTTATTGAACTCAAACCAGACTTCAAATCTGTAAGTTTCTATTTTTACCTCAGTTGGTCTGAAATTATATGTTTTACATAGTTGCACAGCTTCAATTCATACTGCAGACTGCAGAACTGTGCGAGCAATTGGTTTAATCAAACAATTGGAAGAAACTGGTATATTTGCATTTACAATATACATATGTGCAAATGTTATAGTTAAGACACACGGCTGTGCTGGGAAACTGGCCAGTAATGTCAGCTGTGGTGATAAGTCTATTTGTACTTTATGCAAAACATGTCCTCCCCCTATCTTAACAGGCACGCCTCCAGAGAGGAAATCTCCTCCTGAAGCAGGGAGGACTCGATGAAGCAGAGAGGGACTTTAAGACAGTGGTAAGTACAGGAATGTCCACTTTAAACTCCACAGCAACAACACTAAGAAGTCACAATTTGGTGTAAAAGCAGAGATCACCAGGAGGTGTCAGTGTTGAACTGTTTCCTGATGTTAAAGGGAAACTAATCTCAAGCATGAAAACTCAATGTAAAATACGTTCTACTCGATTTGAAATAAGGTTGATTCCATTTTTATTTTTACTGTTGTGGAAGATATTGAGGTTGACTTCTGTATTATGAACTGTGAACACTTTATTTGTATTATTTATTTTTACTATATTGTACACTTGTGCTGTGAGGTTGAAAATCTCAGAGATTGAAGAGCTGAATTTAACAGTCTTTATAACAAACTAGAAAGAGAAAACATAGGCCGGATAAGACTTTATATAAAGGGATACCCTGCATCTATATGTTATTTAAAAACAAGTGGATTATAAATAAATTGGCAGTGAACACTGATTTAGGCCCTCAGGGATGATCTTTAAGGTGCTTGCTGAGGATTAAGGCTGGAGCATGTTAATGTATTTTCCTTTAGCATCACCATATTTACACAGAACACTCCCAGAAGAAATACTGTACATGCCCTTGTTATATCTGCTATTCCTTCTTGGATTCAGTTTAAAGCTGCAGTGTTCTCAGGTGAGGTAAAGGTGCAGGCAAAAGTTCAGTTTATCTTCTATAAGGGAATGGGATGTGAATGTATGTGTCACATTGTGCCAAGGGCATGTGATGGGCCTTTCCTTTATATTTAACTAAAAAAAAAGAAAAACTAAAAAAAAAAACTAAATGTGTTAATATGTCTGAAACTTAAGTGTTAGTCCTGTCTTACTTTCTTCTCCAGAAGGCAAAGAGCCACATTTTCAGGAGAGGCCATTCAGAGATGTTATAGTTTTACATGGGCAATATGTTCAGATATAATGTCAAAGCATTTGGCAAGAGGTGATTGCTGTCCTTCAGCCGGCCCCATCATTGGCAAAGCTTAATGCACATTTAGGCATTACACTTTTTACTATGCTAAGCAGGAAACACTTAAAGGGTTCCCAGGTTCAATTGTAAAGGATATGTAGTTAGATGTGATTGCTCTTATAAATATGATGATCTCTATGATGAGGATGGTTATGAGGTGTTTGGTTTAGGGATGCTAATGCTGTGATAGGCAATGCTTTGAAGTGGCAAAGCAAAGGAAGAACCTCAAATTGGAATATGTTGTTAAGGACTGAATACAATTTTCCACAGTCACTCTAACTTGTCTCAGTTATTTTATCATGACAACAAGTAGGTCATTTAATGTCTAGCTTTGCAATATTCCAGCTGAACTCCAGCCCTAGCGACCGAGAGGAGGGAGAAGCCAAAAGTCAGCTGACAAAGTCAGATGAAATGCAGCGACTGGTGGCTCAGGCCCGCAGGAGCTACAGCAGCCAGGATTATGTGACAGCTGCCGCCCAGCTTGACACTATCATTGAGGTAAGATACCTATCTTGTCGGCGTAGCGTCACTTTCCGGAAAGTATGACATTGTCTGTGTTATCATTGCTGCAGAGTTGTACGGTAGTTTGTAAGAGATATCATCTGCCTGTTACAGACCTGCGTTTGGGATGTGACCTCTCGTGAGATGCGAGCAGAGTGTTTTATTGAAATGGGAGAGATGGGGAAAGCCGTCAGTGACCTCAAAGCTGCATCCAAGTTAAAGAATGACAACACCCAGGCTTTCTACAAACTCAGCATCATCTACTATAATCTTGGAGACCATGAGATGTCCCTAAAGTAAGACCCAATTGCAGACTGCTCCTTTATTTGTGACACCTTATCAATATCAGACATTGTGACCAGGATAGTAAGAGCTAGCATTTAACAAAGTGTGATTATGAGATAACTTGTTTATTACTAGTGTTTCTTTAAGAATAAAACATGGCAGAATTATATTTCCAATTAAGTGATAGTTATCTTTTATCTATCTATGAGTTGGTAATATAGAAATTGCCTGTTATGACCCTCCTCCTCTCGTCTGATTTGCAGTGAGGTGCGCGAGTGCCTGAAGCTTGATCCTGATCACAAACAGTGTTACAGTCATTACAAGCAGGTCAAGAAGCTCAACAAACAAATCCGGTCTGCAGAGGAACTCATCCAAGAGCAGAGGTGTGTGTGTGTGTGTGTGTGTGTGTGTGTGTGTGTGTGTGTGTGTGTGTGTGTGTGTGAGCAGAGGTGTGTGTGCTACCTGTAGTTTCTGCAGCAGCACCACGTCAGCGATCTTGTCCTTCTCATGTTTGGCTTGTTTGGCTTTCCAGAACTGTTTCTGAGCCGAGTATCGACTCATGGGACAAACCTTGAACAGGCAGTCTGAGGAAACACGGGACACAACAGAAAAGATTCAGATATTATAGAAAATATGTATTTAAATACAGTTCAACCTGAAAGCACTGAAAAATTCATTCAGTCTCAATTTCTTTGACACGTCACAGAAAATAATTAGAAAAATGAAGAATTCCTTTAGGTTTTATTATTTATATTTAAAGTCAAAGGCACACGATGTAATATCTAAACCTACCCCTAACCCTTTCTGCCACTAGGAGTCAAAACAGTAATACAATCTCTAGTTGGTGCCGATTTGAAGGATGATGGGAGTCATTGTCTTCATCACCATTTCTGTTAAGATTCCTTCAGTGTTCATTGTTCTTAAATATGAGCCGAATTATCCACAGAGGTGTCTTACTCTCAATAATAAACAAACAAGGCAATTCAAACTGAGAGAAACACAGAATAAAGCCGTTTCATGTTGAAATGTGTGCTTCTTCTGGGGTTTGGTACTTGCTAATGTTTGCTCGACTTCTTTCTCCGACATGTTAAGATCCAGAAGTCCCATCTCTAAAATCCTTCATCTGAGTTAAAAACAACAAAAAACCTTAAAAGTTCAAGTTAAAAATGTGCCTTCAATGTGGGTAATAGGTCCATTTACAACAGCTTCTTGCAGATAAACACTGACACATGTCAAGTGAGATATTACCTTGATTAAAAATAACAGATTTCATCTTTGAAGTTTGTGGGATAATGTAAGTACACAACTCAACAAAATATGTCACATAGGTCAGTTTAGATATTTTAATGCTTAAATGTGAACTGTAAAATACCTTTAATCTTCATTTTGAACACTATTTATTCTACATTCTTGGTGTGGGTGATTAGTTCCAGAGTGCTGATTGGTCGGTGGAGCAGCGCCTGAAGCTAAATGGTTGTTTTTGGTTTCATATCTTTAAACCGCTGAAGCGTCTGACAGTAAGTCTCTGAGAGCGTTTCAATCACATTTATATTTCCTGCCCGACGACCAAATATGGTCGTTCTGTCTGAGAGCTGACTCCTGGAGGAACTGATTAAAAAACGGGCCTGTTGGTGGTGGGAGGGAAAGTCAAGAAATCACCAACATGTATCCAGATTAAGCGTCATAAATGATCATCCAATATTTAAATAAGTTACAAGTGAGACCATTCAAAGAAAAAAAACGTATTCTCACGAGTGCAGGTAAAAATTATAATATTTTCAGTACATAAAAATTACTTTTGCAAAGTAAACCGACGGACTAAAGCACTGTATTAGCTTGTGGTTTATATTTCTTTCTTTTGGTTATTTGTTTGTGTTTGTGTGGATAAATGTATATTTGTATGGAAGCCTGTCTTTAGTTTATCTATGCATGTTTCATTATTTACCTCTTTTCCATAATTGATATCTTAATAAGTACTAACACACACTTTTTTACACATTTATTTTGTTATATTGTAGTTGATTGTGCATCATTTCAGTAATTTTATAGGGTTATATAAATATTTTGAAATATACTTTCATTTCCTATTTTTACTTTTCTAGGATCACATTAATATTTGTCATCAATTATTTTCTTTTTTTTATCTTTTATTGCACATTTAACATCTTATGTTTGTATGAATATTCTTATTTTATTTCTATTTTTATTTTATTTCCCCTAAAACATTGATTTCCTGATTCAGCTCTGCATTTCCTCACAGTTAATTAAATACCATTATAATTATTATTATTTTTGTCAATCTCATCTAATGTGTTATCTTAAAAAATAGATAACAAAAGGCTGTTGCTGTGTGTGTGTGTGTGTGTGTGTGTGTGTGTGTGTGTGTGTGTGTGTGTGTGTGTG